CCAGAGCTGAGGTTGATTACGCCCAGTCGCACCCGAGAGTGTCTGACTCTGTGTGTGTGTTGTGAGGAGTTGCTTTTGCGTTCAAGTGGAGTGTGATTGGTGTGTTACAATTGCTCGGAGGGGGTGTCGCGCATAGAGGCCCCTGCTGCGTTGGTCGACGAGTGGCGTCTTCTAGTGGCTGTCAGAAAGCCGCGACTATCTGGGCGAGGTTGTGCGTCCCCGCATGCACACGGAGAACTGGATTAAGGGTCTTGAGGCCAGTGAGTCGTGAACAGCTGCCTGCAAAAACGGATGATGCTGGGGCAGTGGGCATTAAACGAAGACGGAGGGCAGCATTGTTGGCTGTCTGCCACACTATCTTACCTACCAAGGGCTTTGCTTGCAAAACAAACTTGCCAGTTTTCGTAATATCATGGAAGATTAATGCCTTGACTTGGAGTTACTCTTTCGAAATGAAGCTTTATAGGCGGGTAGCAACCGTTCGAGTGCCGTCTTCTTCTTCGTCGCTCTTCCGGCCGTGACTAGCTGGCGTTCCGCCAAGGCACTGCAACCCCTCAAACATCGGAAAAATTTTCGAAAACTGAAATTGCTCCCATTTTCTAAAAAAATTGCGACTTGTTAACTTTACTTCACCTGAATTTCATCACTCTACGAATAAATATTTCGCGGTCCTAATCTCTTAACTATAAACTATTTTTAAAACATAAATACCGTTTTCGCAATTTAAAGAAGATGGTATTTGCCACAAGAGGGAAAATGTTGTATGGTTTCTACAAAATATGTTTGAATTTATAAGGGCATCGAAAATAAAGGAGGACAATGCATACTACTTAAGTAGCCATTCTTTGCAGGGTATATTTTTATAAACATATGGTAAGAAACCCTTTCGAAATCTAGCGCATCCTGATGGTCCGAAATATCTGGAGATTGGCTTGCGCGATAATCGCGAAGTGGGTTGGCATTTCATGAGATAGGAAATCCACTGTATAGTTGATTTAACTTACCGTCATATATCAGTGACCCCGACGTGAATTGGACTACTACGAATAATGTAGGTCATCTTCTGTACGCGATCTAAAGCAATGTAATGTACCAACAACTAATTACCAACTATTTCCACGGATTTCTCTCTGTGCGCCTGTCGATCAAAGCGGACTGATCCTGCCACAGTATTCACCAACTGATGCCATTATTTTGCCTCCCTCCCCGCTCTAGACTGGTCCCCCACCCAAAACCGTCGACTACCGCGCCTGGAGACCCTGCCACCTGAGCAACATAGCCACTCTGAATCAAGCCCTGCTGGAGTTCTATGAACAGAATCTGCCCGAACATCCCTTTTTGAGCTCCCTTCGAAAACCCAGCGTGGCCTTTGAGACCCTGACCACCAACAGGGATAAGGTCTACTGCCTCAGCGCCTTCACCTCAGAGACGGCCTTCGCGCGAATCGAAGCGGCCTTCCGGTCGGTCGGTGGCCTCGCCTCCAGTTTCCTGGTTGACAAGTAAGGCGACCACCCCCTCTCATTCTTGTATCCGCATAAAATGGCCTGGGTGCATTTTGCCCCCGATTGCCCCAATGTGAACAGCATTGTGCTCTTCCTGCTCTCCGGAATTGACAAGTGTTGGGTGATTATTCTGTATCTGAATTTCCCGGAGGGTGTTGTCTTGGACCGTAACCCCACGGCATTTGAGGGATTACCGTATAGGCCGATGGCATTGCTGGTAAAGAAAAGAAGGCTGGAATGACTATTTCTGGCTTATCAGCCCGTCATACCCAACCCCGATTGCTTCACCACTTTGGGCTCAAACCCACTGTATTTTGCTCAGAAAACAACGAGCCCGAGATCGAGAAGTATTGTAGGAGCCTAAGCCGTGGTTGTGCCTAGATCACTACAATCATCAGGTCGAAGTGCCCAGGTTGAAGGTAAAGGCAAAAATCACCAGAAGGAGGGATTTATTGTATACAGAACTCCCAGTTGCAGTCACAGGTGGCAGTGGCCACTGGCGAAGCCAGGGCTGGTACTGACTGCGTCCAGCCAGGCCTGTGAGTGTCGACTGTCTGTTGTGTGGGGTGATGACAGCTGCTTTAGTAGTAGTTATACCCAAAACAAAATAATGCTCCACCCGAGGTTCAAATCCGCGACCGGATTAGTTAGAAGTCCAACGCTTTAGCCACTGCAGCACGGGCTCGTTGCCTTGCCGGTTTCGATCGAGAATATAGACAGCGGTACCTACAGTTAGTACCTATGTACTAATCTATATCCCGATGGACAACCGGCAAGACGTCGAGCCGTTGGCTCAGTGGATAGGACGTTCGTCTCTAGCTTACTGGTTGCGGGTTCGAAACGCGAATGTAGCGGCAGTTTCTGTGGCTGTACTGGAGTTGGGTATGTGCAGCTGACGAAAGCTAATAAGCTAGAAATACGCGTATTCTGCACTTCTAACGTTTGCCGGTAATACATTGATAGACAGTGGTGGATAGGCGCTCACTGATCGGTTACAGGAAATGTATGTCTCGTTGTTCGCTAGAGCTCACTGTAGACCTATGACAGTGTTTTTGTCGGCCTCCAGCGTGCGGAGTGCTTTACCTTCATTTTTGAGGGCTTCTTGCATCTTTTGTGGGATATCAGTCTGGAGGCTATTCACTGTCGTAACAGATTTCGGCCTTCTTTTCGTAATTGGAGCCTCATGAATGACTGATCCTTCTGCTGCTGCAATGAAGTCAGGTGGTTCGGCATCTGTGGAAGTGAAGCAAGCATCGTGGCTTTGGGTTGTTAGTTGTTGGAAGGGCAGATTGCGCAAGACATTAGCACGCCAGAAGTTGCCATTCTTTGCGCTCATTGTAGTCAATTTCTGCTTCAGTTTGGCGTCACGTGTATCGCGAATGCGCCTGGCGCTGAAAGAAATAGTACTGTATAGATCATTTGTCAGCACTTCTCCGAGGATCGTTGTGCATTTAGTTTGTGTCTCCTCGATTGTTGCTTAATGCCTGCGCAGACGTAGGTGACAGTCCTGGATTAGGACCCGAATCACTCTACGTCCTGACTGTAGGACCGTTCGTCTACCTAGCTCGGTGTTGACTGAAGATTTATATGAGAGGCATCTCGGCAGATTATTTAAGTCTAGGCACCTATGTTTGAACCTCAGCTGATCGTACATCGAAATCTGTCGCCAGCAAAATGATTCCCAGCGACGTGCTGGTTTAAGCGCTTCGCGCCCGAAGGTATTTTAAATGGCTGAAAATATACGAGGCCCAGGTATATGAATAGAAGACGGAAAGGCAATCTCTAGAACCAGTTGTTTATTTATCAGACGTTTCGAAGTCTAACGCAAGCCCATCATCAAGGAATAAAAGGTCGTGCAACTGATTTCATATTTAGCTCACCTCTACCGGGAATGACCGTGAGCTGTGCCATTGATTTGTTCGTTCAAGGCCTGATAAACAGTTGGCAGATTGATATGTCTATTAATAGACTCCTCGGTCGAATACCATATCTCATGCAGCAGGCGTGAAATTCGGTGGTCTGACTAACCCACTCTTCTCACAATTTGGAAGGTAAAACTGTACCGCACTTATATCGCCCTTTAC